GTATACATATACATATGTCATATGCGTATGGTGGGTCGATATATATTTTTTCATGAAGTGCACACAAAAACTCGGGATTCAAGGTTACATTTAAATTCTTTGAACAGCAAATAAGAAAAAAGTGATAAGAAAAGAATTCTAAGAATGATTGCAAAAAAGGCAAATGGTTCATACAATACTCGGAAAAGATCAAATTTTTTAAAAAAGCAGGGTCAGATCTAAAAGAGATTATCTTATCTTATATCTTATTAACTTTTATTAAGAGTGCCTATCTTTCGAGCAAGGATGATAAAAAAAAATTATGCTGTTTGAGCGAAATAATTAAATTGCAAGTTCGTGTGTTAAATTATTGGTATAATATTGAGACAATGATTTGGAAGCGCTCATTTTGGTGGGGAGCTGTGGTATTAACCCAGATTTGTTACGAGTTACAAGTGTCTTAAGCGTAGGATCAAGTGGAGTAACTGAAACCGTTACATAAATAGGTCAGTGCACAATGAGTTTCCAATAATTAAATTAATAGCTATATACCATATTTTGATAATCTCGTAATAATTATTACCTATTCTTTACTTTAAAATAATTTTAATAATATCTGAAAAGAATAAGTAAAATTTTATAGACAGAAATAGTAATATAAAAAAAGTATTATAATTATAAAATAAAATAAAAATCAATTTTTAAAGATTTTTAAAGATTACTTCCTTAATTTACTGATCAGTTTTAATTACGTCAATCAGCTTTGTATCATTCTTAGCGTGTCATTATAAAGAATATCAAGTAAAGTCAATATAGCGTATCAGAATGTTAAGAATGTTAAGTGACAACAGCATAAAGCAATTATAATAATTGAGTGTAAAATAATTGCAACAGTGTCAACAGATATAATTTTTGCTTTGTGTAGTAACCAAATATGAACGAATTAATGGATCAACGATCGTGTTACGCGCGGATTTCCTCTTTGATAAAGTGACTGGAGAAAACTGTAACGGTGTACAGATTGAAAAGCTAGCGTCGTGACGTGTTGACACGTATAAAACCAGGAAACCTGTTAAATCTTATTTGCCGTCATGTGTGTATGGAAGCTGTGTATGATTAAATCAATATGCGCAAGTAAAACGAATTATAATGTTGTTTTGTAGTTTGAAAGCATGAAGTGCAAGATATGCTTCAAAATTATGCTCACAGATTGAAAAACCTGGGGTATTATTAAAATTAATTAAAGTAAATGCTGAAACATAAGGAACATAGTATCTAATAAACTTTATTATTTTAACTTTAATTCTAATAAATATGATTGATAAAAACAATACAGTTTTTAATTTATTACTTCATCAATGATCAATACATTTTTTAACTCATTATTTCATCAATGATCACTTTACTATTTTAATTATAATTATAATGAACAAATTATAATGAAGGATTTACTACTACTACAATAATGGGTTAATTCACAACGTAATCGAACATGTGGTATTAATGTAAAAATAGATGAATGATAAAATGTTCTATTTGTCTCTCTATATTTGTCACAAAATTTTGGTTAATCCTCTGCAGTAAGACCTTGCAGTAAACCGGTCTACAATTGCGTAAGTATAGTTGCAAGTAGTTGTAGTTGTAAAAATTTACCAATCACAATCGAATATTCGACTGTAATTGGTCAGTTCTTACGACTACAATTATTTACAACATACGCTTACGTAACTGTAGACCGGGCTTAAGACCTTCAACAGATCTTTGTACATGTATTTTATAGCTATTAATTTGTAATATCAGCTAAGTATGAGCTAACATGACAGATGGTTCGTTTTTTTTGTCAGCGATACAAAAAACTGTATACACATTATTTAAATGATTCATTTTTGTCAACAATACAAAAAACTGTATGTACATAAGAAAAATGTAGCTATATTTTTCCTGATTTCTTCCTAGAATGGGAGTATCTTTCTTCTCCTAGTATGATAGTAGTTTCTCTCATGCCAATTTGACATTGAGATTATAAGATTCGTAAACTCCGAATTATCAGTACAATCGTTTAAAGATGCCGGATTCGAATGGAAGGTCGCCGACGTAAATCTGCGAACCGGTTCTATTAACTCGCCATTCCGTTAATATTTTTACATAACGTTTCATCTCCCGCGACTGTAAATCGTTTCCACAAATATTTACTTCTATTTGCCGATATCCGTAGCTTCGTTAGCAAAACGTTGCGCAACGTAACGAAGAATTAATTCTTGCCCCGTAGCTTTGCCCTACATACACCATATTGCAAACTTCATTATTATCTTCGTTATAATGCGTCTAATTAAAATTATTCATCCCATGCCGAGCAAGAGAGATATAGAAAGAAAATAAAAATATAAAAATTTTGAAAATATAAAGATGAAATTTGTGAATATGCAGCTAATTGTTTGTCGATCAGTCGTATTTATATAATAAATTCTTTCACACATAAATTTTCTACTTTAAAAAGTAAAGTAAAATATTTTGAAAAATTTATTAGAGATAATTATGAAATTCCTTTATTTCAATTTAATATTATATTTAAAAAATGTATTAGTGATTAATTATTAAAATTTTAAGTATTAAAAGCATTGTTGTTAGTTTATTTCAATTTCTATAAGTATAAAATTTATATGTGAAAAAATTTATTATAAAAATACGACAGTATTCAATTTTAAAGTGATGATTCGTTACTTATTGTTATTTTTTATAATGTTAAAATAAGATATTTTTAAAATTACATTATTTAATAATATTTAATAATATTAAATATAATAATTAATATGAAAACTTAAAATCTTAAATTAGTCTCTATAACCCACACAACAAACTTTCCTTTAAATTAAACTTCTCTGATTAATCTTCTAATTATTAGTATTGATATTTTTATTGATATTTTTAATATATTTGTCTTAGAGATTCAAATTCTAATTTATAAACGCAAAATTTATCAAAAATTTTTATTAAATATTGTTTTTAAATATTAATGTCGTTATTAATGGTGCATTTTGAATATTCTAATATTCACTGAAAATCTGCAATTCACGTTACCTACAGATAGATTGGATCGAGACAAATAAGATTTGTTTTTCAATTTTTTTTTCTCTATTGGTAAAAATGTAATCAAAACAAATTTTATCATTAAGTTTTATTTTAAATTCCTAATCTTTATAACTTTCATATAATAAAATAATATATAAACATATGTCTTATTGCACAACAAAAAAACTAAGAAAAGAAAATTATCCGATTTGCCACGAAATTGGAGAACTAAGCTGATCTGGTATTTACTAGATTGTTTTGACAAACTGTAAAAATTATTATAATTTGAATAGGTTTCAACATATCTTTTTGTTACAAAGTCACAAAAATTAAAATTGTAATTTTATGAGTTACAAAAACAATGAATAAAAATGGAAGCCAATTTTGACCTAAAAGTATAACATTAGTTGCACATGTAACCTTGTGTTTTTTTTTTAGTCCCTGCATACGATGATAGTTTTGTCTACCTAAACTTGTAGGAAAATAGTTAAAATTCGTGTTAAAAGTGATTTTTAATAATAATTTGGTTATATAGTGACAATTTTGTTCCAACTATTTAATTGTATTATTTATAGTATAGTATAATTTTTTTTTCACTAGAAACCGAGGAAACATTTTAAATGAAATAAGAACTACGTCAATTATAAAAAAATGTTGAAGAAAGAATTCCAAAAACATAAGAAAAGATACAGAAATAGATAATTCAACTTTATAATATTAGCGGATTGTCGTTAATGGATTCACGACACAACGTCATAAGGATCTCGCTATATTAGATTTTCTGAAATATTTCATTTTCAAGTGTTTCTTTGATGTTTAATTGAAAAAAATTATAAAACTGTAAGAGAGAAAGGGGGACAAATAGTGACGGATTTTTTCCTCTCCCCTACAAGCTAATTTCAAATTTACAAGATATGATTTTTCACTAAAAGAGTACTTTCCACTTTGAAATATACAAAAAACTTAATTAGAGGTCCCGTAAGTCAGGTATAAGGGCTAGATTTTTAAAGAAACTGAAATCTACATTTATCGTTTGATTATTTGCCCCATATTAGAATAAGTAGTGACACCCTATGGGGTAAATACTACTTACACCCCTCTCCTTTACCAAAATACAAGTAATATAATTAAATAATTGGAGCAAAATTGTTATTATATAACCAAATTACTAATAAAACCGATCTTATAACGTAATTTTGATCACTTTCCCACGGATTTAGATGAATGAAAATATCATCGTATTCAACGAGTAAAAAACGTAAGATTACATATGTAACTTACACGTTATACTTTTTACCCATCATCCTTTTTTCATGCACTCATGATCTCAACGCTTATATTATGAACTGACACATGCAACACAGAATACTGTCTATTGGTTCCGATACTGAGGAAGTGCGCGGAAAAATAACTAGCATAATAAAACTATAGATATAATGGATAAAACCGCACAATTGAAACAAAAAGAAAAACAAACAAAACTAATGACAATTATGTCAAAATTTATATTAATCTGATTCGCCTTGATAGATATAAATAAAATAAATAGAACTAAATTAACGACTGAATTTATTATTACCATAAAAATGTACGACGTTACAAATAATAAAAAGTAACGATTGTTGCCGATAAAAGTAACGTTAATTTCCAACCTTGAAGAAGGATTTTAATAATTTAAACATGTCGACGTGAAATAATATCGAGACCACAATTTTTTACAGTTTCTGCGGAAATTGAAACAGAATATAAAAAAAAAGAAAAAGAAAATGAGATTTCGTAAAAAGAGAAGGGAGTAGATTATCCATAAAAAAAAGGAAAAGATTAGGGTTGTGAATTCCGGTGAATCCTACAATCTTCAATGTTAAGCATAGTGAGTAAAAAAACAACTAATGTAATTGTGTATCCTATATATATATTATGTATGTATAATTCTAATTTCACACGAAAAAGAAAAATTTTGCTTACAAAGTGTTGCTTACAAAGTTTTTTTTTATTCGCTACACTAATATAACGGAAAATTTGTTACATATTCTCTTTGATATAATAGAAACATTTTGCAAAGACATTCTCCCCTTCTGTGTGAAATTTTATAAAAGAGTGGCATGCAAATACTTTATCAACTTTCAAATGTATATCATAATGTCAACAACACGTATTTAGCCTACAGATAGGGCGTGTGCGGGCGAGAGCAGACCAGTCAAAGAGTCTGACATTAGGGATGCGAGCATACAACGGGGGCGAGTTGGAATATACCATACGTTGTAAAATGCATTTTATCATTGTGATGCCTTCGCAATCGCAGAATATTATGCGAGAAATGCAACGGCGCACGTCCATCAGTCGTCTGGGTCATTGATCACGAATGCATAATATGTGAATATCAACTAATCGCGAATCATGCCGGACAACGCCGTGAATTTTTTCCGTGGCATTTTCATATGCGATCGACTTCACGATCGAGCTCCGAAGTTATCCTGTTTTAACTATTGACTGAGAATTCCTTTTATTTTGAGAAGAGGCAAAAAGTCAATCGTGAATTCGATATGCTCGTAATCGATAGTTATAGCTAAGCTAATCACAAGTAATAATGCTGTACGACAAAAAATGTGTAAGTACGCACCAAGGTGTATTAAACTGTGAGGTTTCTCGTAGTTTTTGGACACTAAAAAAATGATCTCTGTTTACCAAATTGCTCACGTCACAATTTTGAGAAAGTGTAATTGCAGTTGTAAAAAGGGATAATTTAGTGTTGTGTATTTTGACATATTACAACAATTATACGACATGTTGCAGAAATTTTATTGCAGTCAAAATAAAGTATGTTACATTCAGCCCTTGAAAGAAATTTGTTATGTCGATTGGTTAAAAAGATATTTATGGTATTTGCGAATTTATTGTGACTTACATAAACTATTAAGGATATACTAAATATTTTTTAATCATATTATTTAAACTTGAGAATTTTTTAGGTTTAACAATTGTAATGAGTGTAATAAAACTTTTCCCTACCACGTCACATATAATAATTATAATGTGATAAAATACATTAAAATAGCACACCTTTTTACAACTTATAAATTGCTTTTAAACTTAAACTTGAAACTTCTCAAAATTGTAGTAAAGCTACTTGATAAACGGAATCACATTTAGCGCCCCCAAAAATTACGAGAAACGATTACCCCTCGTTTTTAAGCTAAACAAATTTTTGCTGAACAGTGTAATCTATGAGCTTTTTCCGAAAATCTTGTATTTAATTTGAAAATTTACACAATAAACAGTAAAGTTAAAAATATGTCCTCGATAAAAACAAAAACTATTAGATAAAAATGAATATATCATAATTTGAAAATTTAGTAAACTTAGATGTCTGAGCACACGTTCGAATATAAAATTATTTCGATAAAGAAATTATTGCGAGGAAAACGTAGTAAAAATACTCAGTTGTTAATTTTTGTAGCCACAAATCATAGAATGGCATTGGTCGTTATCTTTACGAGTATGATATGTCCAAATGAATCTCTATCCATTCCGACGTCATAAACATGTCAATATATCGTACCAATATCTTGAAATAAAAACAATATTATTCTATGAGTTCGAAATAGAAAGGATTTATGAACAGACGTTACAACATTCGTCCTTCCCATTAGAAAATTTTCAATCTGAATGGGAACTGATTTTGACGTCAACGAAATTTCGAATTGCTGCCATATATGATGGAAGATTCTAATATTTTATATAAAGCATTTATTGTATCAAGTTATTTAAGCTTTTCTATCTCTTCCGTCGAATATATAGATGTATAATAAAACATTAAATGAAAGAACATAAATCTTTTATAAGTAAGACTGTTTATATAATGTAATATGTCGATAATCTACGCAAAAGTCTTATAATTTAAACGTCTTTTTATGCAAACGTTTTACGCAAATGTCTTTATAATTTAATACGAAGGACTGCCTACACAGAAAATAAGAAATTAAAGTAACGAGTGTTACTATTAAACCGAATGAATGATAAATGTATGAATAGATACAGCATTTAAATATATATACGCCATAAATCACTTTAATATTGTATTCTCTGTTTACTATTCAAATGATATAAGTCTCCATTTACAACCGCACATTATAATTTCACAACAAATCTAGATTGTTTTAATAGCTGTAAATTTTGTAAAACATTCGCAATTACGATTAACACGAAAACTTTCCATTTCCCTAAGATTAACATTTTATTCCCGTAAAACGTAACGATAAGGAATAACAATTGTATGCTGAACAAGCCAATTATAATATGTTACAAATCGAATCCGGGGTTTTCTTATCATTAACTTTAAGAAGAATGGCAGCCCTACCGCGAAGAAGCGATGGGAGATCAGCACGTGCGCACGCACGCACGCATGCACGTATGCGCACATATTCGTAACAAGCGGCGCCGCCACTTCTCGCATCGCAACGGAGAGGTTTCTAATTTGGACAAAGGAAGAATGGCGCAAATGCGTCAAGGCTGGATCGTTTAATCACAAACCGCTCAATCGGCCCGAAAGCGTTATTAACTGAATTTATGCATCTGTCCGTCTCGACGGGAAGAAGAAGACGGACGGATACCTCATCGTATCATTTTGTATAAGAAGAAGCTGTTGCACATCGACGATAAGGATTTGCAAAAAAAGAAATCAACGAAATTCTAAATAAACCGAATGACTCCCTCAAGTCAATTTTCGTACGAAAATTATTCAATCAAAAATTGATATTGTATTTGTATAAACGAATAAAGAATCGTCCAGTTTATACCTAAACACATCGCAGCAAGAATGCATTTTTTCTGTATTTTTAAATTCATAGATATTTATAATTTGCTGAGGATTCGCATGATCGAAAAATAACATTCCACGTTATCTAGATGAGTGAAATTGGGCAAAGTTAAAAAAGGCTGCATTGCCTAACTTTATTATCATATTCCATCAAAGGTCCAAAAAACGGCTAGAAGTGGATGGCATGTACATATAAAAGCAGATTAGTGGAGATAGGAAGGAAAGAGAGAAAGAGTGTGAGTGAGTGAGAGGGAGAGAGAGAGAGAGAGAGAGAGAGAGAGAGACCTTCCAATTTCTTTTCCATCATATCATGAACAATCGCGATTTTGTTGAAAATTTGTGTATTCGATTTTTATTTCGATTATCAAGATAATGTACAGATACAATATGAAATAAAGAGAAAACGAGATATTCAAATGGTATCCATGAATATCCGTTAGTAGCATCAGTGTTAATTGCGTACTAATTTTAGAATGGCGTGTCGCTCCATATGCCACCACAGAGATTATCAATCTCTCGTTGCGTACCAGATTGTAAATAAAAATTCACGGCGCAAAAATCAATTGGCAAAGCATTGAAAAAGAATAAACAAACAAGGCAAAATTAACCTCAATAGTCAAACATCAGTAGCCAGTCGTTTCCAGTTGTCAATGTTAAATAAAGCAACGAGATGTCGATTTTAGCTACCATATGTATACAAAAGTTATCTAAATTGTTTAAATATAGGTTATCAGTTCAAAAAACCAAGAAGGAAAAAATCATCGATTATTCTAAATATTCATAGACCCTTTCGTCTTCGATTTCGACTGTCGAATTGTAAGAAAAATTAATCATTGCCTTCTAAAGAATGAAAATATGTAATTTTGAAAATGTGTGGTTTTAATTCATAAATTCAAATATTATCAGGGCTAAGATCAAAATTATAATCGATTGTCTTTTGTCAAAAATTCATCGGGTTCATGAACTCATGAACATTTCATTCAAAGCTCATGGACATTCCTCGTCGAAGCAGGCCTGTCGATGCAAGCCGTGATGATCGAGTTTCTCCCCGAAGCGTTCACCTACTCTTCTCCCGGGGATGCAAACTCGATCGTTACTGGAACGCAACCGACGCATAGATACGTTTACGAGGAGAGCGAAAGCGTGCCAGCGCGCACACACACAGTTCACCGTATTTTCGGGAACGCGTTCAAATAATAAGAGGCTAATGATAGTAATGACTGTAACAATCACAAAGGCCGAAAATATACGAATAGCAAACGCGCGAATCGTTCGAGCAACGTTTCATGGAATTCGGGAAAAAGTTGCTCGCAAATTGCATTCATTGTCCTGTCATTTGAAAGTCATATCTCTGAAACAACGGACGTCTTTCTACAACTTCTTTGAGAACAAGACCTTTTTTGTTATCCCGCGTTACGTTTCTCTCGAAGCAATAGACGCGTATTATCTTAAAAATGATGCAACATCCTTCCTTGATTATTTCTGCGAAGTGAGAGTCATCGTTCTCTATTGTGCCGCAAATATATGTATAAGAAAGAGGAAAATTCTATGCATCTAATCATTCTAATCAATATGTCCCGAAGCAATAAATAATTCCAATCCAGTGGCAACAGACTGCATGTGAGTTGACGCATCGCGATAGGATATAACAATCATGGAGAATCATAGACACAGGGTGTCCGGCACTTACCATATGAAATCCTTGCAGTGGCTGCAAAAGGTGGGCTGTTTGAAGAATCGGGGCATAAAGCTATGATTCTTGACCATGTAGACATTCTTCTTTTTGAGGGCGCCCTTCCGGCCCCGTAATTTCTTAGCGAAAGCGGTGTTGGTGTCGCCGGTCCCGAGGGAGTCCTCGCACGTGTAGTCCTGGTCGTCCGCCATGGTTCCACTGCTGCTACTGGCTGCTGTCACTGACTGTTACTGCAACTATTGTTGCTGTCGCTGGCCAGTCGATTGATGATGAATCGACCTCGTTAACGGCGTTGACGTTGGTGTGTCTCGTGCTACTCGACGTGGGCGGCTCGTCGCCGGGCCTGTCCGAAATCCTTCGGTCAATTTGCGATGTCGCGTTCTACTCTCCCGGTATCCTCGGTTACGCGCGCGCGGTTCGTTCCGCTCTTCCAACTTGATGATCGAACTCGTACGACGTGGAGACCGCGCGCGGAAGCCGTCACACGGCTCCGACGACCGACGACGGTGTGTCTCGGGCGCGCGACGCTTGATGGACGATGAGGAGCAGAGGAGGGAGCGCGAGAAAAGGAGTGGGGAGAATTAGAGAGAGCGAGAGAGAGAGAGAAAGAGAGAGAAACGATGCTCTCTCGGTCGACGTCGGCGCGCGTGGTTCTTTCGAGCCGTACCGTGAGGTCCGATCAAGTCTAGGTGTTAGATACCGTACTCTCCTGCTGCTCCTGGAGCTCGCACCTCCTCTTTCGGCGACACGTCGACTCCCTTCCACTCACGGTTCCACCGGGCCACTGTGCTTTGGCCTTTCGCGTTTCTTCTCTCTCTCTCTCTCTCTCTCTCTCTCTCTGTTGACTCTGTTCGTCCCGCTCTAACTTCATGTAAGAGTCTATTCCTCCCTTTCCTTCATACTGTCTCTATTGCTCTGCAACAGCGTTATCTTCCTCTCTCTTTCTCGTTTTCAACGCGCACCGTGCACTCGTCCGGCACCGATCGCTTGACTTTGTCTAGCGTCTCTCTCTCTCTTTCTCTCTCTTCTTCCTCTTGCGAAGTGCGCACCTTCTCGTTCCCTTTCCCCTGTCGCTTCCACTACGCTCGTAATAACAAATACTACTCCTACTACTTGCCTCTACTTCGTCGCACCGTCTCTCTTCCGTTCACTCCCTCTGTCGGGCGATCTCATAGTCAGTTGTCTTTGTTCAACGCCCACCTTTCCTTTTTATCGCTCATCCGTTCCTTTCTTACTCTCCTTATAACGAATTTCTCTCTTTCTGTTTTTCACTTTCCCGCGTTCGTCCACTCCGATTTTTCGTCTCTCTCTCTCTTTCTTTCTCTCGCTATGTCGACTACCTCGCGCCTTCCTCGTCGCCGCTGTACGATGTCCGTCCGTCGTCCCGGCACCTGGTTTAGTCGTTGCACGATATACCGCCGACCCGTCTATCTCCCTCTATCCCGCAATGCCGTTTCCTCCCGTCAACCCTTCTCCGACGTTACGAATCATCCTTGTCTATTTCACGGCGCGACGCCGTGGCTACCGTGCCTCTGTTCTTTTCTCTCTTCCCCTTTAACCGCGCGCGCGCGGGTTACCCGATAATTTTAGACTCTCGGCGCAGCCACTGCTCAGCCTGCGCCGCGCACTCGAATATCGACATACGACCGACGGTGGCGGCGAGACCCGCGAATCGTACACGGCCGGCGACAAGATCGGTGAGAAAAGTAACGAGAAAATGGAAAAACGGAAGAAGAGAAACGTATAATACTTTTGCTTGTTTCCTTCCTTCCTTCCTTCTTTCTAAGCTGTAGATGTCCAGGTTATGCTTTTCTCTTGTTCTTCTCATCCGTAAGTGAGATACACCCTGCGAGTTTGCAGCAGCAATGAGATGGAAGGGAGAGTGATGCTGGTGGTGGAAGCTCGACCTCTGCCTTCATTCACCTATATTCTGATTTTTGCATGTATCCTTCGTCTCTCATTCTCTCCTCTTGCTCCTCTCTCTCTCTCTCTCTCTTTCTCTCTCTCTACTCCTTTTCCCCTCCCTTTCTCTTGTTACTCCTATTTGTTTGGCGTGAACATTCAGTTGCTGGACCGAAGAAAGCGTCGGAACCTACTTGTGGAGAAGACAGATCGCTCTGGCGATTCTATACGCACGGATTCTATGCTGCTCCGATCTTTTTGACTTGCTTACTAAAACGCACGGTTCACTCAACTGACTGGGTCCGTCGCGAACAGTAGTCGTGGCTGTTTAGTGCCAGACGCATCCCCAACAGCATGTGATGTCTGGCGCGTTAGCATTTTGACTACTCGCGGCCTCGGAAGGGATGGCCGCCTTGAGACTTTATCTAATTTCTCATGTGTCACAACTATTGATTCCTTATCTATATTCTACTTTTTAATCGTGTAATATCCCTCATCATTATTTAAACACTGCTCGATTGTTTATTTAGTAGTTTATACATCTAGAAGTTTGCTCTAACGTTTAATCAATTTTGATTAATTCAATAGCTTCCTTCAAAATGTTCTGACACCTTAATGCAAATTTATCAATTATAAGTTACAAATATAAATAAACAGATAAATCTCGTTGTCGTTATCTGTGTATGTATATATATATATTTATATAATACAATCTCCACAATCGCTATTTTTAAAAATATATCTAGTGCGCTATGTCCGTGCTTCGTATGAATCATATTTTATAAAAAAAAAAAAGATAAGATAAGATACGCCTCAAGACGAACATACAAGCAAGATAAATTCGAAGGAAATTTCGCTAGAAAAGGATGGTTCTTCACTTCTCGTGCGTTAAAGGTGCGATTGTATCCAGTAATGATATGACTCGTGCGCGGGATTTGCGCGGGCTTTCGCCGGGTTGCACTCGGAACCGGCCATCGATCCGCGGTTTCATCCCCGCGGAAAACGCAGAAACCTACGGACTAAGTCATTTAGATGGCGAACGCAGCGTGAGATAGAATCACTGTCCTTCACATGATGCGCTCTCGCTCTGCTTCGGTTGGAGGAACAAGCTGTAGCTTGATCCTAAACTGGTCAACTGGAAAGTCTGTAATCCAAGTTGTGACGTGCGGGTCAATAATACCCCCAGGCTATTTTTAATAACGTGTCTATGCACAGAGAGTTGCACGAGTGCGCGCGCGCGGCACATATACACGCAGATACATCTGTGTGAAAAGCATGTGCACTTTGTGTCCTGGAATGTCCGCGGGACATCCCATAGGACTGGGGAAGTACTGAGCGTAAAAGTTCACCCAGTTAAGGACGTGCTCTCTGCATGTCCTACGTCTCCAGATTACAGTTCAATAAACTATCTGGCGATCGCATATATCGTAACAAGTAATAATTAATTAATGTCAGTATCAATGTCAACGTCAAACTCATATTAAACTACGCATCGGAGATTGAGGATTGTGAGTTGGAGATTAAAATTTTATCAATTTCAATAAAACAGATTAAAATAAAAATTATCTGATTAGTCAAATTCTGTAAGTCCAATTTGCAATCTAATGTAGGCTTTGGCTGTGCTTGTATTGTCCAAAATTTTCGAACGTTATCAAGGCAGAAGTTAACTTTGTCATTTAAGAAATTTGTGGCATTTTAATATTCTATTAAAATGTTTTTTGTCCTTACTTTCTCTCGTCATTTTCGTTCCTCACCCGCCATCGTGGGGTCATTCGCGTTTTATGCTTTTATTAAAGGGCTACACTGTAATGAGATGATTTAACGGCAATTTTACTTACATTAATTGCAATCCTTTAGTATATATGATTAAAAAGCGAAGTGACAATAGCATTAAGTGAAACTATATAATTTTGGCAATTATACATATAATATGGCAAATATGATATTTTGGTAAATATATTCGAACACGAGTGACCCTACGAGGGAAAGTATTAAGGATTAATACGATCGCTCGAATTCATGAAACATTTGCTTCATGAATTGGTTCATAAATAGACGATATACTTGGCATGAGTTGCTACTTCTGATAATAATATTTCGCGTCTTCTGATAATAATATTTTTATTTATTTTTAATTTTTGTACATAATTTTACATATATTAATTCTTTATTTAAAAAGACAATTATAATTGCAAAATTAACAACATATAAGACTCTTCAATTTAAAACAACTTCAAGTATAATAATTGAGCATTAAGAGTAAAAAATATATTTATATATGTAGTAAACAATTAGCTAGCGGAATATTTTACTGATATGGCGTACTGTAATCTTTTCCGAACTAGCTTGACGTTGATTAGCGGAAAAAATTATCGAAACTGGATTAATATTATATTGTTTTACGCTGAAGAAAGCCTAAAGGAGGCCGAAACGTACTTAATGAAACAATGTATGAGGTTGTAAATACACAAGAAGATAAAATTATTTTACGCACCGAGTACCGCGTTTTTTTTACTCTTAATGTCCAATTATTATACTTAAAGTTGAATTATAATTGCATTCTTCCAATCTCTTACATCATAGAGCTATCATTTGTCGATTAATTCAATAAACATTCCGCATATAATTTAACAAGTCGAGAACATTTACGAATTTTTTGCGAAATTTTGACGAAAATGGTTGTGATGCGATGGTTATATGCTGACTCTATGGAATGAAGAATGGATTTTCGGGATGGATTTATAGCGGAAATGATTCAGTCACATCTTTCTATGATCGAGTTTCTTTGCTTTTCATGAATTCCTGTGAATTTCGGCGAGGTGATCGATCGACCTCACTAATTGTATAATAACTCATTCGAGAGACATTCGTATATACAACGTTAGTCATCTAAGTTTCAGTTATTTGTATTTTCCTTGTCTCCGTTGTTTGTACACGATGATAATGCTGATAATCAGATTACATATTTATGCAATACTATCTTGATCAAATTTTCGGTAGATCTATAAATTTTCAAGGTAGTATTAGCTAATATAATGCATTTTCGAACGATTAAAAATTTTTGCATATAATTTTGTCCCTTATAAATACCATTAAGGTAAATCGTGATTGTGATTTGTGTAATAAAAATAAGAAGAAATGAAATTTATGTCAAAATTATTTTTAACGAAGCAGTAAATAAAAAGTTAAAGGCTCTGTGCGTATTCTTCTGATTTTATTCCTAGAAAATGTCATATTTCTGTTTCATCATAATTGTATACAAGAAAAAATTTATACTACCACATGCTTAATATTGTACATTTATATTTTTAGTTAAGATAGATTAATATTATGCAATAAATTCTAAATAATCACTCAGACTGACATTTTATTACATAGAAACTGTGATAGTTGCTCGGTAAAAACCTAAAAACCTAATAATTCATTTCAGTTATGTTTCTTTAATTGTATTTTCTTCTATTTGTTAAAAACGTGTAATGCAAAACTATATTTTGTATATAATTTTATCAAAGATAGTATAAAAGAAATTTATTATTCAAATGGAAATACTATTTTTTGGCATATTTATTTACAAATATTTCTGAAATGTTTTTCTTCTTTTGTTTTTTTATCACATAAGCCTAATTATTGTCTACGCTTAGGGTATATTATAAATACATTAATTTGTGAAATTGCGAACATATTAAGGACGTACGCTTTCTGCCTAAATATTTTTACGTTAATTGTTGACTATATTCAAGATTATTATTGTTGTATTATTATCACATTTATTGTTATACGTAATATAAAATATGTAACCAGATTTTTTGAATCTAAAGCGGGACAACTTTAAGGAGGAAGAGGGTTATTTTAAATTGAATAAACATTTTTTTTAACATTTGAGGCACAAATTATTTGTATTTTCTATGTAAGTTCGACTAACTTTTTCGGAAATAACACGTAAGAATGATTGACCAGCGCAGGACTGTACTTTATTATTAAACAAAACAATATCGCTTTTTAAACATCTTTGCTTTTTTGACACATAACACTCTGAAAAATAAAATCAATATGAAACTATAGTATTCGTTATTATAAAAGTATTATACGAAAAGAACGATTTTGCTAAAATATTTAAATATAAGTAGATACAGATCTGAAAATTTTTGGCTCATCGAAGTAATGTAGAAAATTGAAGCTGAACAATGTTGCAAAAGTTTTGATATTTTATAGCAATCAGCTTGAGCGCCTTACTCAAGTATATTGTAGAAGCAGATAGTGTCATAATGACACCAAGTCTTTATTTGTGACTTATAAATAAAAAATAAAGTTATAATAACGATATATGTACTTATAATATCATTATGACTTCTGTGTTCTATATGGGTGCAATTATTTTGATAATTCACTCACAATTATTTTCAGATGATGGAATAGAGGAACAATTAAGCGGAACTGCTCCGCTGAAAGCAAAAAAACGTCGATCGCATTAGTTATACATCAAAAATTAATATGTCAAACTTTACAAAATATTCTGCCTTGAAATAAACTTTATAACGTTTTAACTTCACGTGCTATGTTATGGCACTTATTGCCTCCATGTGCACAAATAATTACCCTCGTATCTTTTTTCAAGTTATTTAAATGTAATTTAGACTATCGCAACCAGTCCTTGAAAATTTGCATAAAATGTCTTGTAATTACTGCTACTATAATATATTTTCAGTCTAAAATCTATATAATCAATTCAAAAATGTGATTTCCCTAGAGTAAACGGTTTACTAGAGATGCCATTAATTTGGTTTCTTTTTTAATCTCGACTATTTCCATCTCCAAATTAAAATTTTAGAACCGATATTCATTAAAATTAAAAACTTAAAAACTACTTATTTTTTCTTGAAAAAGAATTTCTTTATAAACGCCTATAGTAACATTATATACTATAATAACATTTTTTAGTAACTTTTGATTTACTATCCAAATTAATCAAATAAATGATTTATTTTTAGATTTTCATACAAATTTATTCTGGCGATGCACGATGGCGCCACCGGTCGTGTTATCGGGATGCGTTAATTCCAACAGTAGCGGATTAACATAATCAATTACCCCAAAGATATGAAATAATTTATCAGCTTTCAATTAAAAAAATGTTAGTTTACAAAAATTTCAGTGGAATTTAATTTCTTTTTAATAATTAATAAAATCTCATAAAATCAGCGCAAAATTTGAAGTTTTGAAATCTCCTGAAATTGCCTGTATGGAATTTTCTTTGTACCCTTCCGTAACAATCCGTCACTGGCACACTTGCTGATCCATCAGCTGCATTTGAAATTTGTATATACTTTTGAAGTGGCTCACGTTTCGATTCTTGATAAGTGGTGTTTGCGCTATCTCTCCCGACATGTCGAGTTTCAAGTGGCATTTTGCGCTAATCGTTATCTCCTGCGTATCGCTGGGTAAGTGATGGAGATCTTGGAATTGCTCTTATTTTGTTTCTTTCAATGATATTTTTGCCGTAGGCCACGCCCTAGAGTGTTACGTTTGCACAGATCAGGAAGGCAATCGAGATAAATGTCTGAACACTATCAAAACCTGCGAACAGGGGCAAGATATTTGCCTCACAGAAATTAAATGGGGCAGTAAGTAAACACAACTCGCGTTTTCTCTAAAGTTGATTCTTTGAGGTTATGTATGGCATTGCAGGCATCTCGAACGAATTCTTTGTGGCTGCATATTTACATTTTTGGCGCTTACAGTGCTCATTTTATCCTTGTTGTTTATTAAATGTTACAACAAGGACAAATCATGCCTATGTATAACACAGCACATCACGTGTTAAAATGGAACGCAGCCTTTATCTGTTTTCCAATTTGAGTCAACAACTATCGCTTAATCGCTCTTTATTAAAGATGATAAGAACGTATTTAATTAAATAATTGAATCGCATTAATTGGTATCAATATCTCTTGAATGCGAAAGAACCTAAGCATTTTGTTTTCAGTCGTAAAAATATTTTAATTGAAAAAAATAACTCAGTTAAAGAATTATATTTATTTGATTAGGTATTCCTTAAAGCCTTGTGTCCACGATACTAGAAATCGGTCTAAGTTCTCGGATCGAGAATTGTATAGTCAATAAAATTGCTGGTTTCCCGTAAAAACTACAAGTTGATTGGCTACACAGTTCTTGGTTCGAGAACTTTGAAGCGATTTCTAGTATCGTGGACATAAGGCTTTTTATAGTGATATGTTGATGCATAGCATATAATATTAAAGGGAGTTCATGCATTTTAGGCGATTTGGAAAGCATGCAAGGTTTCTTTTTTTTTTTTACTCAATTTTACTTGCTTCCGAAAGTCATAGTCAAAATAATCTTATAAGAAAACCTCGGGAAATGTTAAATTCTGATTTTAATGAAACTTGGTAAACCTTTAAGGTTACATAAATAAATGAATTTATCAGTTAGTGCTAGGAAACGGCTTGAAGGAATAAAACTCCTTATATGTAAAGCAATTTTCATTTTTTTTTTGTCATATCTTGAAAACTATTCAAGATGTAAAAAAATGTTTTATACAAAAGTTGTACAGTAAAATTACCTCTATGTATTTACGTTAAATATTTTTAAAAAATAATTATTCTCAAAAATTTTTTAGATGTAAAAAATGCACTCAGTTGCTTTTAAAAAATGCAGCATGTAACTAGATACTTTCATATTTTATGTCGAAATGTAGCATAAAGTATAAAATATTTCGTAAATTGAATTTTCGATAACTTTATTTTAAAACTTTTGTATGCTTTTATAATAATTAAAGGAATTGTATTATTATATAATTTCATATAACAATGGCGTTACTCTTTATATAATCTTTATATAAAATGAAAAATTGGTTTTTTTGAAAATTATTTTTATTATTATTTGTCCTTATTCAGACCGTACAACTTAATTCTATCTGAAACATTTTTCCGTTAAAACGTACATAGCTTTAGGTGCTTGCATGTTCCCAAACCTTGTTAAGAAAGGGTGAAGGTTTAGATAACATTAAAACATATTTTTATAAAAACAAAAAAATTTGCAGACATGATTGAACAAAATAATAAAATCAACCATTGCGTTTTCTGTCAAAATAAATCCAAAAATTATATTTCCCTAAGAATATATACTAATAAGACTATTTTAACTATAACTTTCGGATTCAGCAAGTATAATTGAGTAAAAAAGAAAGATGAATTTAACAATCCCTGCTTGCTTTCCAAATCGCCTAAAATGTATAAATTTCTTTTAACATGTAATAGTATTATAAAAATAATAAATTTGATAATTATAGGTACACCATATTGGTCACAGGGTGCTAAGAAACAATTTTATGTCTCTAAAAAATGTGCTACTAAAAGAGAATGCGAGAGGATGCAGCGCAATAGTATGCCCGATTGCACTCATATCTGGTATCAGGACTGGAAGTGTTCATCTTGCTGTCAAGGCGATAGGTGTAACTATTATGTTATTGTAAGTATGTAAGGTCTTTAGTTAGTGATTTGAAAAAATGCAATATGAGTAAATACTTTATTTTTTATTTCAGTCTGGTGGAAACAAAAGGAAAGTACATAGTGGAATATTTGCCATAATCTTGATCTCCTTGTTGAGTACAAGGTTTCAATAACAATAGAAATGATCTGCAGAAATAATTAGCTGATGTTTTAATCAGCATACGAATGAAATAATCTCATCACTGCAGACTGAACAAAGTAAAGACCTTTTTTTTTAACGTAATATAATTTTTTAAAAGTAATATAAAATAATTTTATAGTTATACATGCAAGATAGTTTTATAATTTTGCAAATGTATAAGTGTATATGTTTAAATTGATTTTTTATCATATACATTCCAAAAGCTTTTTATAGTAATTCCAAAATCATAGATAACTTTGCACTTTTACAATACGCGTAAATATATTACGTTTTAATTGATTTTTTTATCGTATTATATCGTTATACAAATTTTAAAACATTTTATAATTGCATTGAAATATTATATTTATATACTAGTGCCTTTATGATAATTATATGTAATGTAAATATAATATACATACAGGGTGTTCGAAAATTCAACCGACAAACTTTCAGAGATTGTCGGGGGTACCAAAAGGATCATTTTTTGCAAAGGACCTAGGATTGGACGCGTGTCGTTACACGGCTACGACAGACAGTGTTCGGAAAAGGTCGGACCTCGAAATATCTCAGAAAATATAAGTTTTATAAAAAATTGTTTCAGACAAAAGTTGTAGGATGTAAAAAGATCTATTTACTGACCTTATAAGTTTAAAACTTATATTTTTTGAGATATATTTCGAGGTCCGACCTTTTTCGAACACTGTCTGCCGTAGCGACACGCTTCCTACTCTAGATCCATTTGCGAAAAATGATCCTTTTGGTGCCCCCAATAATCTCTGAAAGTTTGTCGATTGAATTTTCGAACATCCTGTATGTATACAAGCAAACACATACGTACTCTTATCAAATTTAGAAATATTTGGTGAAAATTTAAATTTGTGTGATTATGTATGTATGTGTATGTATATTCAAACATTGTATGACACGCACACACACACATACACACACACGTATACAGACAATAGACAATATAATATGAATACTGGAAAATACATTGTTTTATTAATAAGAGAATGAAACTGCCATTTGCTTTTAATATAGATTTTACTTTGTTAGAATAGACTCATACAATGCTTGAGTTATATATATAGTATATATTAGGGTGGGCCGAAAAAAATAAATTCTTGAAATATATAATAATTCGATTAATAATACCCCCAAAAGTTAGCTATGGATTTCGATGAAATTTTACCCAGATCATATTGAAGTTTATAGCTAACTTTTGAAGGGTATTACTAATTCATTTAAAAATTTATTTTTTCCACCCTTTTATATATATGTATATATTATATATAAAATACATACATACATACACACACGATACATATAATATACATGTATTATTATATGACATTTCCGTCCATTTAAAAAGATGCTCTATTTATTGAACATATGTATGAAATATCTATGTATGATAAATTTTTATGAATATTTTTATTTGTTACATATACGTATTGTGTATAATCCGTCCATTTTGCAATAAAACTATATTTATAACTAACGATTGAATGTTTATACGTAAAAATCAGCAATTTTATGGAAATAAATATTTGCGAAAACAGAAATTAAATTTATTTAAATTCCTTATAGAAATTTAAATTTGTTATAATTCAGCGTACATAATCATTTTTTCTAAATTTGCAAAAGTGACACTGAACTCGGAAGGAATGTTTGGGGATATCGATATATCTTCTCTACGATTATGATCGTATTGTCACACGTGTGTATCAGTTAACAGTTATCTTGCTCAGAGATAAGCAGAATAAAGAATAGTTGTATTCGTAAAAACAATTTTAAGATTGTATGCAGTCTAACTGACAATGAGTATCGCTCAGATACGATTGCACAGTAACTACGCTGAAACGATCGTGTGAACATCTGATAAAGTTGCTCCGAGTTGATACACGTCGTATTTATCACAAGTGTTATCTGCTAAAAAATTGTAAGTATTGCATAAAAAACGTGATTGTGTTAATTCCTAAAAACGTTAATTGTTTACAATGACAGATTCTGCGGATACATAAAATATTGTGTACATAAAATTTGCAATAAGACCGTTTGCCAATTTTACATTCATGATTCAAACGAAATAACAGTCTTTCAAGCATAATCTCTTGTATGTTTTATATAAATAATTTATTACTAAATCTATTTTGCTTAAATATATACGTTTTGATTGTGAGCCCAAGACATGAGATATCATATACAAAATAGTATAAAACAATGTAATAATAATATTAATGCTTCATTACTTTATATTATTATGCTTCATATTGTTAACAAGTTATAATCTTCAAAAATTAATTATCTTCAAAAATAATATAAAGATATTGCACGTTACATACAATTGTGGTACTTGTCGCGAATTTCGTTGCAAATTTTAAATTACAATGCGATTGTAAGATCAAACGTCATACAAAAGTTTAACGCGCCTCCAGGTCGCATTAAAACACATAATATATGTATATTGTATCAAAATATTAAAATATTCCAAATATATATTTTATTTTCTTGCAATAATTATATAAATATAATAAATAAATCTATAATGTAATAAAAAAATCTATTAACTAGACTTAAAGTATTATTTTAAGAGGATGTATATAAATTGCACTTACATAATACTATAGATTTTTCTTCCGCAAACGGAAAAAAATATATACATTATGGTCCGTATTCTATGGCCCGTATTTATTCAAAAAGCACTAACAACGATATTAGAGCGCTAACATATTATAATTTACGTTATATATATCTTTAAAGAAAAAGAAAAAGATTACGCAAAATATATAAAAAAATATCGTACGTTACATCTTTCTTAAATCGAAATTATTATTACAATTAATATTATTTTAACAAATAAAAAGTGTTTAAAAATAAATATGAGATCTTACAAGTTGTCAAATATTTATAAGAAAAGTATGGCAAAAACAAGATCATTACATGACAAGGCGAAATTAAATCAAGCAGTGAAGCAATTAAAAGAACTATTTATAAGCAGCCGACAAAAGCAATTGAGAAATTTCTATAAAATCTAACGTCAACAGAAGCTACGGATTATTCTCTGTGGAAAATAAAAAATGAAAAAATTAAAAAAGGTTCTCAACAAATAATTTCACCTATCAGACAAAAAAATGATAAATGGAACCAATAAGGACAAAATTAAATTATTTGAGAATCATCTCAAAAAGGTTTTCAAACTATATACACAAGAATCATCGGATAAACAAGAAAAAGAAAAAGAAATCTTGAACTATTTTGAGGCACTTCTCTGCAAATGGAAATGCCTGTTTAAAAAATAAAAACAAAAGAGTATTAAAAATCATACAAAATAAATTAAAAGCAAATAAGACTCCAGGGTACGATTATTACTGGAAAACTGTTAAAAAAGCTACTTCATTGATTTTGTAGGAAATAAGATATAACTATAATATATAATGCTTTATTAAGGCTGAGCTATTTTCCTGCCCATGGCATATTTTCCTGGAAAATCGTACAAATTACATATTTTAATTCCAAAACCAAGAAAAAACCCTGAAGAATAAATATCTTACAGGCCAATAAGCTTGTTGCCTGTATTATCAATGGTACTTCCAAAACTCATACTAAAATAAATTAAAGCAGTAATAGATATTAAAAAAATTATCCCAGAACATCAGTTTGGATTCCGAGAACATATATGGAGCAATTATGTAAACAAGTATATATAGAGTGGTAAGAAAAATAAAAACTCAATAATGTGTCAGACTCGTAGATTTAAAACAATTAGTAATTAGAAAAGGTAATCAGACTCAAAACGTGGTAATTGGTGCGTGGTTAATTTACTTTCTTGAATAAAAAATTCTCTAATACATCGATAACACGTACGTTTCTGCCCTCTTCAGGCCTTCCTCAACGATAAAAACTCTTACACAAATTCTTACGTTAAAAACACAACTTAGTTATTCACCTTCGCTCGTTTTGCATATGGTTCCGCAGTAACAGTAGACAGAAGTTCCAAAATGAGCAAAGGTGAATAATTAAATTGGTTTTGCAAAATGAGCAAAGGTGAATAACTAAATTGCGTTTTTAATGTAAGAATTTTTGTAAGAGTTTTTTATCGCTGAGGAAGGCCTGAAGAGAGCAGAAACGTACGTATTATCGATGTATTAAAGAATTTTATATTTGAGAAATTAAATTAACCACGCACCAATTACCGCGTTTTGACTCTGATTGCCTTTTCTAATTACTAATTGTGAAAAATAAAAAAGTTGCTTTCTTTCTAAGTGGTAGATCTAATAAATATACATATATAAAG